GAATATTTTAAAAGGCAAATAACATAAACTTACAATGTTTTTGGTCACTTCTTTACGTTGGGTCTTATTTTAAGCCCAGGTAATTTCTGGAAATGATTGAAGGAAAACGAATTGATTCATCAAATTGAACTTATTCTGTTGTAAATTGTAAATATTACTTTAACAATCATATATTTTAACAAAAACTTTCTTTTTCAAATTTACATTAGTGAGATTTTTGTGTGAATTTCAACGTGTATGTGAGTGCCGCCATGTTATAAGCCTTCTTCACTAGTGAAAGCAACAATAATGTATTCCGTGACGTCAACGAGTTCAGGTACAACTGGTCGTAATCTGTCTAGAATGAGTAAGTTGATGCACAGAAAGAAGAAATATATTCAGTGTTCTGATTGGACAGTTTTATTAAAGGTCACATGACTTTGCATTATTGAATCGAATTACTTGCAATCATGCCACAGTGTCGGGCAATAAGTTGCACGAACGCTAAAGGTACGTATGTCACGCGAGAAATAACGGGATTTAATACGATATCATGGAAGTTTGGATGTTCTGTAATGCAGTCCTTAGTTTTCAAGTTTGACATTACTAAATCAGATTCATCTGCACACGTTGTTCACATCCACACCACACGCTCAACGCTACAGCTTCACTCTCAGTCGTTTACATGAATGTTATTTCTTTCTTTTTTTGGTTGCTCGGCTTATAACCAATAATCCCAAATGTTGTTCATTTTTATTAGCAGGCACTTTATCACAGAACCGGAAGTCAAACCTTCTTACAGGTAATCGAATTAAAAATTTTATCAGCTACAAACCGGAAGATGTTTGTTTGTTTGTTTTTTAATTATGCACAAAGCTACACAAGGGCTATCTGTGCTCTGCCCACCACGGGTATCGAAACCCGGTTTCTAGCGTTGTAAGTCCGCAGACATACCGCTGTACCACTGGGGGGCCAAACCGGAAGAAACTAAGTGGCGTCACGGACCTGTTAAATATGGCCGCTTCTAGTGTAGACTTTTGTCGCGTTTAGAATTTTTAAAAAAGTGTTAGAATTTCCCATTTATATTGGGGGCATTTAAATAATGTATCTATGAAAATTATTTTTCACATTTAAATAAGTTAAATCACCATCGACAGCCATTTTTACTAGCAAAATCAGAGAAATGTCTTTCATAATTATTGAACTTTAATGTTATGTCTCAGTAATTGTCAATAAAACTGTAATCTTCCTTATTTTTTATTCGAATAGTGACTATCAGATTTTCAATACCACTGAAAGAAACCACCAGTTGTATGTTTTAAGTCTCATGTTGTTGAGACGTATTTATAGCATTCATTACATGTGGAAGGTCCACATATTGCATGATACTGAGTAAGTTTGTGTTCTTTCCCTTTTAAAACATTCAACGTAAAGAAGTGACCAAAAACATTGTAAGTTTATATTATTTCCCTTTTAAAATATTCAAAACTCGAGCGCTTTCGAATAGTTGACTATTCTTCTTCAGGAGAACAAAGAAGAAGAATATTCATCAGTCACTGTACGATGTCCCTGTAGAAGATCATCACTCGACTACTATGTCTGTCGTATCCCATCCGACCTTAAGAGCCATGGTATTGGTCGAAAGGTCTCATCGGCGTCGGATATGGCAGACATAGAATGATTGATATATTATAATTTTTTTTCTTTACTTTCTCTCCAAGTTTTCAAAAATTAAATTACTTCTACAGTGATATTATACAGAGGATATTAAGTAGTGGTCTTCTCTAGAGAAATAACGTGGTGACCATTACATAGTAGCTTTACGGAAGTAATACAGTGGTTGATAGTTAATGTTTTTTGTTGAAGGGGGTTAATATTGTGACTGCTATATCATGGTCTTCTACAGAGAACTCGTACAGTAGGTGATTCATAGTGGTCTTCTATAGGGACATCATATAGTGGCTAATGCATGTCGGTCTATTGGGAAGCCATATAGTGGCTGGTGCATGGTGGTCTTCTATATGGAAATCATGCAGTGGATGATCCCTGACGATCTTGTTTTTGGAAAATCGTACAGGGGCTGGGGTTGGAAATAATTAATAAAGCTGTAAAGTTATTGTGACCTTTGTATAGCTAAAACAGCATAATCAAAGAAGTTAACACTTAAAAGCTAAATTTTATATGCGAATCTTAATATATGTTTGAAAATCTTAAGTAGATAATAACGCCTAGCTTAAGCCTTCTGGAAGAAAAAAAAAAGAGTCAATAAATTACAAGTTAATTACAAGCATAGCGTGGTAGTTTCAGTTCACACAATCTGCAAGCTACTGGTTCGAGTCCCATTATCGAAAGTGCTCGTCCTCTCAGCCGTGATGTTACGTTCAGTCCCACTATCCGTTCGTAACAGAGTATCTCAAGAGTTAGCGGTGGGTGGTGTTAACTGGCTGCCTTCTCCTTAGTCTATCATTTCAAATTAGGGACGACTAGCGCAGATAGCCCTTGTGTAACTATGCGCGAAATTCAATAAACAAACAAAACAATCTTTTTAGTCCGGGAAGCCTGATTCAAGCTAATTACTCCACTTTCACACTGGAGCTATACAAAGTATTCACACTGGAGGTATACAAAGTATTCACACTGGAGGTATACAAAGTATTCACATCAAAACTCGACTTTCTTACACACTTGACTACTACTTGACTGTAACTAGATTGTTTGTTTGTTTGATTTCGCGCAAAGTTAAGACGACGAATGCTATCTGTGCTATCCGTCCCCACTTTTCAAGTGATAGACTAGAAGGAGGGTAGTTAGTTGACACATCCAACACCAAGTTTTGGACTACTCTAATCAAACAGTGGGATTGACCGTCACATTATAAAGCCACCACAGCTGAAAGGACAAGCACCTATTCACGTGAAAAATGTCTTTTATGAGCTGGTTTTCCCAATTTTCGTATGATTTTAGAAATCGTAACGCCAAATCACTTTTGTTAGCTCAGTTTTTCCATTTTGCTATATTTTGGGGAATCTTTCTGCGAAATTTGACATTTCTGGGCTGATTTTTTTCTTATCTCCTAAACTTTTTTAAAGTTTGGTTGCTGCTAAGCGTGAAGCTACACAAATGGCCACAACGAGTATCGAAACTCGAATTTTAACATTATATGCCCCCAGACTTACCGCTGGGCCACCGTGGGACACAATTTTTTAGACCAAAATATTTTTTTGTTGATAAGTTATTTCAATTTTTTTTTGGGGGGGGAGGTTGGTTATAGTTAAGCACAATGGGCTGTTTGTGCTCTGCCCACCACGGGTATCGAAACCTGATTCTTGGCGTCGGAAGCCTGCAGCCTTACCGCTGACCCACTATGGGGATTTAGTGTTTCAATTTCTTTTTATAGACTTCTGACAAATCGCCTCTTATTTAATCTGAGTTACAATACATAAACTAAGTGTAGATACATCGTTATGGAAACGTGTGAATGTAACTTTTGTTAACATTCTAGCTCAAAACGTAATATATATATATATATATATACAGTTCAACTGAGTTACATTACATAAACTAAGTGTAGATACATCGTTATGGAAACGTGTAGAAAGGTGTATGGATGAATGTAACTTT